ATCTTCTCATACCAAACAACATAAAAGAAAATCAATTTCCTTTCCATCATTGCTATTTTCCATCACTTCCATATTTCCTTTCTATCCTATTTTCTTTCCTTCCTACCAAACATAGCATAAGTTTTGCAACAGGGGCAAAGGTCTCCTGGTAATCAATTCCGTAAGATTGAGTAAACCCCTTAGCAACAAGTCGAGCCTTAAATCTGTTTATACTGCCATCAGCATTGTGTTTGACTGTGAAGATCCATTTACAACCAACCGGGCGTTTGTCTGCTGGTAACTCCAATATTTCCCAAGTTCCATTCTTTTCAAGTGCCTGAATTTCTTCCAAAACAGCTCCCTTCCACTCTGGTACTTTGAGTGCTTCATGTATTGAGCTCGGAATCTGTATTTTGTCAAGATTGCTAACAAAGGCACAGTGACTAGGTGACAATCCTTTATATGACACAAAATTGTAAATTGGATGATCAGTGCATGACCTTTTTCCTTTTCTCCAGGCAATAGGTCTATCATCAATAGGAGGATTGACAGGTGTGAGTTCAGAACTAGTGTTACCTGGTGAATTCTTAGATTCAAGATTCGGATTGAATTCATGGTTCTGATAAGGTGTCTGCCTTTCTCTTCCTTCTTGAGCTTTGGGTCTCCTAGTGTAAACATGGAACTCTTTTGTTGCAGGAGGTGTTTGGAATTCTGCCTGGGAATGAGATTCAAATTGAGTGGCTGAAGTAAGGTCCTGACTTTGTTGAGGTGACTCTGTTTGGACTGGTTGGGATAACCCGAGCTTGGGTTGAAGTTGACTGGATTGAAGAATTGAAGATTCTGAGATATCGGAATTGAGAACTGGAGCTGATTCCAGGGTATCGGAATTGAGGGCTGGAGATGATTCCAAGGTATTAATATCCCAAGATTGGTATTCTTGAGTATAGTTCTCCCCCTGAATACCAATTTTGTAAAAAGGTTGTTGCTCAAAGAATGTAACATCCATGGTGTTATAGAACTTCCTTGTGACAGGTGAATAGCATTTATACCCCCTTTGATTGGAAGAGTACCCAACAAAGATGCATTTTAGTGACTTTGGATCAAGTTTACTTCTGTGTTGGGCATATATATGGACAAAAGTGGAGCAACCAAAGATTTTCATGGGAAGGTTGGATAAGAGACGTGTATTTGGAAAGGAATGGAGAAGTGTCTGGTGCGGTGTTTGGAAATTCAAGACTCGAGAGGGCATTCTGTTTATTAGGTAAGCAGCTGTCAACACTGCTTCACCCCAGAAAAATTTTGGAACGTGTGTGGTAAACATAAGAGATCGAGCAACTTCCAAAAGGTGCCTATTTCTTCTTTCGGCAATCCCATTTTGTTGGGGTGTGTCAACACAAGAAATTTGGTGAACAATTCCCTGACTATCAAGGTAATTACCCAGATTCATTTCAAAGTATTCTTTTGCATTATCTGTTTTTAATACTTGTATTTTTGTCTGGAATTGGGTTTGAATCATGGTATTGAATTTTTTGAAGATTGGACTAACTTCAGATTTTTCCTTCATAAGAAACAACCATGTGATTCTAGTATGATCATCAACAAATGACACAAACCACCTAGTACCCGTGATATTTTTTATTCTAGATGGCCCCCACACATCACTATGAATCATCAAAAAAGGTTGTGATGCTCTATATGGAAGATTGCGATAAGATATACGAGTATGTTTAGAGAATTGGCACACTTCACACTCAAACATTTTTGGCTTTTTATTTCTGAAAAATGCTGGAAATAGTTTTTGAAGATACAAGAAATTAGGGTGGCCTAATCTATAGTGCCACAACATAATAGTATTGTCTTTATTGGAGGAAAAAAGGCTTTTATTTTACTCAACACGTACTGCACTATGAGTTTGTCCTCTAGGAGATCCCTCAGCTTTAAGAAGAAATAGTCCGGACTGCACCTTAGCATTGCCAATCGTCCTCCCCGAAGTCAAATCCTGAAATTCACACACATTTGAAGAAAACTTAGCAACACAATTATGTTCTCGAGTTATCTTGCTAATGGACAAGAGATTACAATCAAGATTCGGGACATAGAGGACAGAATTTAGACTAAGGTCCTTTGAAATAATAATAGAACCTGTTCCGGCTACTCTAGAGTGAGATCCATCAGCTTTTGTCACTGTAACGTTTTCTTGACATGGATTGTACTTGTGAAACATTGGGATATCTCCTATCATATGATCGGAGGCTCCCGAATCCACAATCCATGACTTTGGATTTTCGGATTTTACAGAAAAAACACTAATGTGATTACCTTTTTGTGCTACTGATCCTGTTCCGATGATGTTGTGACTGATATCCTGCTGTGAGAACATTTTTTGTAGGGTCTCAAGTTGTTCTTTGTTGAAAGGACTTGATTCGATGGAAGGTGTTCCTTCTTCTGCTGCAGCATGATTGCCACGGCTTTCTCTGTCAGGAGCAGGTCTTGAGGGTTTCCAATCTGGAGGCTTGCCATGGATCTTCCAGTAGGTATCTCGGGTATGGCCAGGTTTTCTGCCGAGCTCACACCACGCTCCTCCCTTCTTTCCCCGATTGTCACTGCTGTTAGGTTGAAAACCTCTAGCAGTAAGGGCTGAACTTTGATCTGCGGTTGGATTACCCAGAACATCCCCCATCATCACCTTCTTCCTGCTCTCTTCTCTTCGCACCTCGGAAAAGGCTTCACGGATGTTGGGCAAGGGTTTCATTCCCATAATTCTCCCCCGAACCTCATCAAGATTCTTATTAAGTCCCATAAGAAACTTGAATATCCTTTTCTTTTCAACTATCTCTCTGAATTTCTTTGCATCACTAGGACATTCCCAATGATGTTCCTCAAATACATCAAGTCGTTGCCAATGGCGAGTTAAAATGCCATAATATTGAGTGACATTAAGATCCTCTTGCCGAAGATCACGAAGACTGCTCTCAATCTCAAATATCTCTAAGGTATTTTCCTTGCTGGAATAGAATTCCTTAGCTACCTCCCAGATTTCCTGTGCCGTGCTGTAGAGAAGAAAATTCTCGCCAATTTCATTAGTCATAGAATTAATTAGCCAGGACATTACCAAGTTGTTCTCCACCTTCAATGTTCTGTACTTCAGATCACCATTCTTTGGAGGAACGATTTCACCTGTGAGGTACTCATCCTTTCCTCGCCCGCAGATGAACATCTTGACAGATTGTGACCATTGGAGATAGTTATTCCCATTTAATTTGTGTCCTGTAATGGGAATTTGGATACTTTCAGATCCATCATGGCTGCCTCTAACGGCTGCCTCTGGTTTCGATGATATCCTTCAGTGGAGGGCTCGGTTAACTTTTCACCAGCCATCCCGTACTTGGTCATCGGAAATTTTTTAGAGGTTCAGAGAGTGCTCTGATACCATGTGAGAAATTGTGAATGAAATTCTCTTTATTTCTGGGTCAATATTACAGCCAATAAATAGGATTACAATGAGAAACATAAACTAGAAACTACCTAAAATAGGAAACGGTGAATGAATACCAAATCCTCTATTCTAGGAAACTAATTACAATTACTTTACAGCTAGCACTCCTCTGTAAATAAGAGAAGATCCGGATCCTAGAGATCACAAAGAATCCGGATTTCCACAACATTACAGGAAGAGAAAAGGTGAGAAGATTCTAAATTCAGCCACTTACTTGAGAACCTTTCAGTGAAAAGTAGCATGAAATGAAGTACAAAACTAACCTGGATATCATAACCTTCAATTAGTTTAATCTCAATCTCAAAAATACTATGATATATAGCTCAGATTTGAATCTCTTTTTTTTATAAGAAACGTGAAACTTGTACAGATTTGAAGCTCGTGATTATGAAGACAACAAAGAGAGATCAAGAGACTGAGGAACGGATACTGGAAAGCTTTCACTGCCCATGTATCCTTACTGAACTAACATTCTTGCTTCTAATGTCTAAAAATGGACGTGTAAAACTGCAAATACAGATGAACCACTATGATTTCTCATTTCAAGCACTGTGATTTCTTTCAATTTGTTGATGGAAATTCAAATGAGCTATCATTTCCATCTAGCACATGAATTACGCACTATGATTTCTTTCAATTTATTAATGGAAATTAGATGAGAAGCTTGTTGTGCTTCTTGTCAGAAGAATATGAATCAAATGATTATAGAAATACACTGATCACACCAGAATTGCATAAAATGAAATACACTTACATTGATGGCACTTGTTTGAACGAATTCAGGTCCCATACATCCTGAGGTACAACAAATGTACTCATAAGGTCTAGGTCCTGGAGAAAGAAATGCATAAGAACATTTTCGGACAGAAGTATTTGCATTCACATAGATGGACTGCACAAGAAGTGCTAAAACATGATGTTGGAGGATAAATTCCCATACTCACACTTGAAATCATGTTACCAAGGAGTATTAAAGCAGCATCAACCTGCATCAGTACATGCCTAATGAATAAAAACCTTGTACCTTTTACAGAAGTTCTTGAGACATAAATAACGTCAAATCTGAACAAATAAACTGATAGGAAAGTTTTGAGCAAAAAAATAAACTAAAAGGAAAGTTTCCAAGTGCTACGAGAGAGTAAGGATCTCCATTCTAGAACTTTAAGGGAGTTTTTATTTCAAGTTCTGTTGAAAAGAGTGAATCGTTCAACAATGATATGGATAAACTATATATACTTGGACAGCAGTGGATAAGGTTAAAAAAAATAAATTAAAAAAAAAAAACTATGATGTCCACAATAAATCTCAAAAAGTAACATAACATCTAATTGGTAAAATATTTTGGCAGACATCTTTCAGAAAGAAAAGTAAAAAAGAAACTGAAGCATTGAATAAAATGAGTGTGTAAATGGAAGAACGACTGAGAGAAGAAATGGCAAATACATTTAAAAATTTCTGTCAAATATAGTACAAAAGAAATTTGTAAATGAGCTGACTACAACTTACAACTGCAGTTACATTACTAAATATTGGCAAGCCATGCATCAAACAGCTCCATAGTAGTCGCCAGTTACAGTGGTACTGCAAATTTTTCCGCAAGTCAATGCAACTTCAATGTGAGGGAACAACATAAATTATAGTTTTACAAGAAGACTTCAGTTAGAACTTTCAGTTACAAAAAGTCAACAGAATAGGACCAGCATAGCGCAATGTTCAAATCAAAGGAATTTTGCCTCCAACAATTTGCAGCGTAGTCCAAAAAAAATAAAATAAAAAGAGTCAAATCAAACTAATACAATAACATGAATGGGAACAAAAGAAAGGGAAGCAGAAAATACCTCATTCGGGGCAGAAGAGCTTGATGACATCTCAACTTGTGAATCTAGTATCAGCAACACAGAAGAGAGTTCTTGCAAACTCCTTCAGTTGCAAGCAGATAGATAAAAGTATGTGAGCTCATAAAAGAATGGCGGAAGTGGAGAAAAAGTGAAAAAAAAAATCTAAATGTTCCAGACCTTAGAGTCCATAACAAACCATCGTAAGCGTGCCCCATATTTGCATCGTTCATAATTCTGCAATATATTCCAGGTCGTCAATTTTTTCAGTGAACACCCCCTTTTCAAACAGATAAAGCAAGTATTAACAGGCATGCAAGCAAATGCAAGTTTCGCAGTTTAACCACTGTCACAGAGCAATTTCCAAATTAAGCATGCAGAAGATACATTAGAAGAATTCATGTCAGCAAGAAACAATGCCCCCAACAAACATGCAAATAGACCCGTTTGAAAAAAAATGTAGTATCTTATCCTCTTTTCATATTTTTCTGTCATTTTTTTTTCCCTTTTTTTATCAGAAACATGCAAATAAAAGGGGGGAAATGCTGTCTTACTAGGAATCATTTGCCCAAACAAGCACGCATAGATATGGGAAACTAATTTGAAAGAATTACACAAATATGAACTTATTACTATGAAAACAACAGCAAACTTGAAAGCACTTTATCCACCGAAAGAAATTACATAATTCTTTTGACAACACTATAATATGTATATACACACTCATACAAGAAACCAGAAGACAAACTGGCTTGAATAGTATAAATTTTATGCATAAACCTTCAAAAATTAACGAAAGGAAAGATTGAAGCACAAGTTAAATAATGAAGAAGCACAAGTTAAATAATGAAGACTCCCTTATCTCCCCATTATTGTCTTAAAAGTATGCAGCATTCACTTTTTGAGTAAAAGTTGTCAATACAAGAGAAACGCATAAGAAACAAAAGTAGTACTATTGTACAAACTTGAAATGAAGAAGTTACCCCTCAAAGCTGTCAGATATGCCCTCAAACCAGTAGATGAAGAGGTCTTTACTAATACGCATATGGTAGTTACGAGTGAGACAACAGAATGCAGCATTCCTGTGAAACAGTCCATCTGCGTTATAATTCTTTTTTTTTTTTTGATAAGAAACAAGAAATTTTATTAAAAATAATAATAATAAAGAAAGAAAGTACAAACGTCAGAGGATAAGAAGTCCTTGAAACAAAACTAGGCAGTCAAGGTGATCAACCTAGTAGGGGGAAAAAAAAACACAAGCGCAATAGACTACAACAGAAAAGCTAAGCCAATATTAAATCCCATTCCGTAGAAGGTTCAAGTGACCGCTCCTGGCGCCGCCGCTTGATCGCCATGTTCTTCCTCAACTGTGGCTTCAACTCCATCCCGATCTTCTTCATCCACCGCGGCAATGAGAACCTGCAGTTGTGGTTTTGTGCAAACATGTCCGAACTGCCATTTCTCTTCACACCGGAAGCATAATCCACGCTCCCTACACCGCTGTAATTCAGCGTCAGAAATTTTCTTCCTGAAGCTGTCTTGTTTCCTCGTGGACTGAGAAAAACCATTTTCTTGGCTCTTGTTGACCGACACGCCCGTTTGGCTAGAGTTGGTATGTGTCAACTCTGGGGATCCCTCATTTTTTTCCACCAGTTTCGGTGGATTCCAGCTGGAGCCACTACCCAGCCAGCTGGAGCAACTTCCTGTAATGCCTCCACGCGTTGAATTCTTCAGCCCATCAGTTCTGAAAAATCCAGCCCCTTCACCACTTGTTCTAGCCCGTGAAGTCCTCAACATCTGGGCCCGCTCAAGAGCCCAATTCTTTTCTTCAATTTTTTGGGCCAAATCCATCAGCTGGACTAGACAACCAATAAACTCTAACCAAACTCTTACATGGAAACAAGATAATTTTAAGTTTACCAAGAAGAGCAAAAATGCAGCAAATAACTGATGAAAGAGAACCAGAAACCTTCTTCGTAACTATGTATGTTTAGATGGAATAGTTCTACAGGGGAAAAAAAGGCATTATAAAGCCTGAACAAAAAATTGATCTGCAGGTCACTGAACACATGATAATAACTAGCTGATAAAGTACAGCAGCTGTAAGGTCAACCATACCATATTGAGAACTGCTCAAGGCTTCAAATTTTTCATCCTTAGATGTGTCAACCCTGTATAAATAGATAATAAAATAAGCAACTACTAGCACGGCCAAACAACCATCACCAAGAACACACTTGGAAAATAAATTGAGAAACTAAGGGAACACCAACCAGGGCAAACTACCACCAGATGAAATGCTTTGATCTAGTTCCTTGCAGACTATGTCAAGGAGTTGTTCTACCAAGATATTCCCATCAGTAGCACCTCTTGTCAAATTTAATTGTAACCTTGCATACAAAATAAGTGCATCCTGCCAACAAAAAATCCATAACATGGTAAACATGTGTATATGCAAATGCATTCGCAACATACAATTAGCAAGTTATTAATAACAAAATAAAAAAAATCCAGAAAATGTTGCTTTAAATGCTGCCAGAAAACCTTAAGAGCGCGGTCGTGTGTTGTTAGCCAACAACGAAACACAAATTGCTGTACAGCACCATGGATCTCCATGGAATGATGACCTAAGTTGGGACCATCTTTCAACAAGTATTTATTGATGCACTCGATAAGCTTGCGTGAAAGCTTGTCTTCAAACCTGAAAAAAGTGACAAAATGTTTTCTTGTTATCCAAAAAAAAAAAAAAAAAAACAAACAAACAAACAAATACGTCATTTGGTGCACAGAGATAGAAGAAAGAAAGAAATGCAAGCACAAGTTATCACTTACCTAACATAAGAGAAAATCCCTACAAACCCCTTAACAATGTTTTCTCTGAGATTATTCAAGAAATCTCCAGGTGGATTCTCTAAGAGGGACTGGAGCGTTAGAATGCAGCGAAAGACCTCCTCCCTAGGATTACATGAATTATCATTTCTGCCATCTAAGCTTGATTCCACCTTATCCATATAGAGAAGAACGAGATCTAACCAAGAGGAAGTAAGCTATGTATGAGAAAACTGAGCCATGATGCCACCAGTTAATATGTGACGAGAAATGTGCTCTGGTTTAGCTAAGTGAATACTCACTACAATATATACGCTTCCTCATGTGGAAACGATAATCATTGACATTCAAAAGATGCCGGAGAATAACCCCATATTCCGACCAAAAGCTTGGGACATCGCTCAAGACATCTCATATGTGATTAAAAAAGTGTTTAACCACAGAGAGTAAAGGCAGCATCTTACCTGAAATGACAATGAAAAGAAACTTACGATAATCATAGAGTATTTAAGAACAATTTCTGGATACATGCGCAGACACAAACACACATACGTACTAGTTGTACATAATGCCTGGCATTTGTATGCATATTTTATCTGCCACAAAGCTATGAAGAAATAGTGATTTCAGTTCATAGCTAGAATAATAATAAAAAGAGAGATTTCGTTTGTTTACATATAAGTTTAAATGATACTTTTGGAAACTAAAAATAAAATGACAAATCAGTCACTAAATTTTGAGAAAGAATGGGATCAAAGTTTTGGAGAGAAAAATAAAAAGGTAGTATACGTGTTGAATTCTACTTAAAGATAGGGACTAATTGTACAGCTGAAAGGAGGCAATAGGGAGGAAGACGTTGCAGGCTAAAAAGAGAAAAGGACAAATACAGAAAGAGATAGTAGAAGAAAGCAAAATGTCAGGGAAAAAAAGAAAAGAGTAAACTATGAAGCTTGTTTGGTCTTCTGCAGGGAAAAATGAGAACTTAAATTTTTTAAACATTTTTTTTCTGATAATTGAGAACATGAGTTATGGCTGCTAGTGCACACGTTTTCTAAGTTACACAAGGATTGTCTAATGTTTAAAACGAAAGTTCTCTTTTTTTTGTTTTTTTTGTTTCAAAGAAAGTTAACAACGTGTCAGATCAACATTTTATCCGCTCTCTATTAGCTTTCATTTGTTTTCACCTAACCATTTACACCTCAATAATAATAAACAAATAAACATAAGTTTCAATCACTAGATTAAGTGTTTTAACCAAGTCTTAAAAGAATTTGATAAGATCTAATGCATTCAAAATTCAATTGCAAAATAAATTACCGAACGTGTATCTATTTAAAAGAAAGATCCGGCACATAGGAGCTCTTTACTCCATTGCCCCAAAATATTAAAATGGGTAACATATACATTTCCTCTCCTATGACAAACTTAACAAGAATGAACTACCATTAAAACGCTGCCTTAAGTCGATAAATACCAGAGAACTTAGAATCTTGCGCTCGTTGCACGACAATACGGAGAGTCTTTGCGAATATCAACTTTGGCAATCGCCGCTTGCCTGAAGATATCTCCAATGAAACACATTGGATTAGCATAGTGATAAGAAAAGGCCATGTTTCAGCTGCAGCAATTAAAAATAAATAAATTAATTAATTAAGAAATAAATAAATAAAAACCAATTTACTTGACAATACTAAAAAAAATCAAACACAAAACAAAACAAAACAAAAACTCCATTTCGACGAATTGAATGCATGATGCACAAACTTTCATCTTACAATGACGAATGTCATTCGGGTTAAGCTTTGCCGTGTTTTTTCCAAGAAATTTGCAAAAGGCGATAGACCTCTCTCCTTCCAACCATGTATTCAACAGCTTTATCCCTTCCTATCAAAGTAAAACCAAATCAGAAACGAATATGTATTATACTACAAAATCAAAAAAGCCTTTTCTTGCAAAAATATTAAAACGAAAAAAAAACATCTGGCCGCCGAGGAAAATTAAGTTTGGAATGAAAAAAGTACAACCGAATTGGAAACACAGCTCAATTCTAAATCAACTATACGAACTCAGCCCAGAACAAGAAGCACAAACGGAATTTCTATAACTTAAGAAATTATTGTTAATTAGGCATTGGAATTCATTGCTCCAGTTAACGAACAAAAACAACAAACACGCACGAAGTTTTCGTTTCGCTTAGTTGAAATTAAACAGCTCTTCTTCTACTCAATTCATTTCATCATTTTATATCATCAATCAGGAATAGCCATACGCGACTTTCCAAGCTTAATAATGCCGTAATTTGTTCCTGTTTTGGCATTTTCTAATCCAATCTGAAAGCGATTATATCACAAAATTCAATTTCATTTTCGGTTTTCTTTTTCTGCTCATGCATTTTCTCGGCGACCAAACGGAGAGGAAAGGGTAAACAAAAGAGGAAAAAAAAAGTACTTCTCGAGCTTTGGCTTTATCGGAAGAGAGCTTCGAAACTATCTCCTGAACGTCTCTGGAGGTGACGATCGCGGTCATCGAAGCCTCCGATTACCGACGCCGCCGGTACTGGACAGTGAAAAGACAAAAGTTCTAGGGTTTTTGGCTCTTCTCTTGCTGTTTGGCTGCTTTGAAAAATTGGCGGGAAAGTGAAAGGACTTTTAAGACGGAAGAAAAATGAGAGCGACAATTTGGAATGGAAGGAAAGTAATCGAGACAAGGAAAAGCAATACACGCCAAAAGTCGCGGGTTTTAAGGAAGAGCAATCTGCAGCGGTTGGCGAAGAGGAACGACGATGGCTTTACGTTATGCCGCTTGTTTATCTAAGTAGTTACGAAGGATGCCCTTGTAGGTCTTGTAAAAGGGACAACGGGCCGAACCGTAACGGCCGACAAATGATATCAGGCCAAGACCCAGTGGAAGTGGAACTTAACATAGGGCCAGTTACAAGGAAGCCAGTATGAGGAACCGAATAAGAACAAGAATGTGGGTGAATAAGAAGAAGAATAGTACCTTTTTCTTTTTGGGAGTTCGGTGTTCAAATATATGCAGCGTGTTTAGAAATAATTTACGCCGATTTAGTTTGTTAATTTAAATTTTTAATTTAAATTGGTACATGATTTTATATAAAAAAATTTTATTGTAATAAAAAAATTAAATGTGATTATTTTTTAGAGCTTTTTACTATAATAAAATTTGAATTCTAAATTTGAATCAGTAAAATGAACGGAATTTCAATTTTTATTTTTCACATTTTTCAAGACAAAAAAATGAGATTGAGAGAAAAAACTTGTTTGGAGGAAAAAATGTATGAAAACCGAAAACAATTTTATTTTTTAGTTTAGTGTAAAATCACTTAGAAAATAAAAACAATATTAAGTTGTTTTTCATTTTTTGTTTCTATTTCTTTGGGCAGATGCCTTTTTTTTAAGGCAAGTGGGTGAAAATTATATAAGTAAACGGAGTTTTAGTTTTTTCTTAAACTGAAAATAATCTCTTAATAAAACACCCAAACGCATTTTCAAAAACGATGTCTGTCTAAGATTAAAAACGTTTTCATTTCCAGTTTCATACAAAAAACAAAATCATTTTAGAACTAATTCCAAACGCACCCATGGTTTTCCCCTTCCCTTTCGAGAAAATTGCATAATTTACTCTTAAGAGTGTATGAGTCTGATTTTTTACTTTTCACTCTTGATTAATACTCTTTTACTAGTGTAGTTATTTGACTAAAAAAGTTATTAATCAAGATTAAATGATAGAAATTTTAACCTATACACTTTTAAGTGGTATTTCTCCCCTTTCTTTTTTTCTTTTTTCTTTTTAAGATTAGAGCTTAATTAATATATAATAGTGGTAAGGGTAAATAACTAGAGTTTTTAAGAAGTGTAAATGAGGTTGTATACTACTTTTGAAGTCTAGTTATTAAGTTGGATGTTAAAATTAGGCTTCAAATTTTCAAAAAAAGAATAGTATATTTGAATTCCAACTCTACAAAAGTGGTATTTCTCTACTTCACCCTTCAAAAATGGTTCCCAACATAATTTACATGGGAATCATAGTGTAAATTAGCTAGTATCACTTGTAAAGTCTATATATTCGCCCCTATCATTTTTGTCTATAAAAATTAGGTTCAAATCCAAAAAATTGGTGTATTCTAATACCAACGTTTTAAAGATAGTATTCCTCTAATTTACTAGGAAATTATAGTGTAAATTCGACTCTGTACTAGTTATAGAACCTAATTATTCATTTGTAACACTTTAATATATAAATTAGACTCAAATCTTCCACATATATGGTGGGTCTAAATACCAAGTTTCGTAAAATGGCATTCCTTCCGTCCACTAAGGAATTATTTATCATGTATCATAAAAAGAAAGGAACCTTTATGGTGCAACTCTAATTATCATAAAAAAATAAAAAGAAGAAATGTTGTCAAGTCTTAAAACAAATAACCCTTTAAAACGTCGTGAACAAATTTCCAAGCATTATAACCGTAAAAGATATTTTCCCCTTCTCATTGTATAGTTAAGAGATTTGATAGATTCAATTGTGTTAATAGATTATATTTTGTTAATTAGACTATACAAATTCAAATTATATGTTCAATTTTAGTATTTAAAAGGGTATCTAATTACTAACCACATTATGCTGAACTACATGATTAACAATTAGAAACGGGCAGACCTTTTTGGATTTCAATATAGTCTTATTTCCCGCTGCAGTGCTTGGGCAGCATAAAACTGACTCGAGAGGCCTACACAATGGCGATGCAGCGGAGTTTTGGACAGAGAGCAGCCATTCGGGGTGCAATGCAAGCGCTGCAGCGCCCCTACAACACTGGTCGAGCGCTGCAGCGCCCAAAATAGGCGTTGCAGCGCGCCTGCCTTCTTGGACTGGAGCTGTAAAGCCTAAAACTGGCGCTGCAATGCCAAACGCTGCCTTGAAAGCACCAAATGGTGTTGTCAAACTCACTGCAATGCATTAAACATGTGCTGCAGCGCTTCCTTGCCATTTTTCTTGTGTTTTAGGCCAAAGATTATGTGATCTTGTAATTAAGAGACATAATACAATCTCTCTAACAATTCCCGTGGAGATTGTGTTCACATAGAGGGGAGGATCATACACCTTGAGTAACAGAGGATTTGCACCTTTAAGTAGTGGTGGAGCTAAAAAAATATTTTCAATGAGGCACTAAAAAAGAAATTAGAGATAAACTTTTATCAAATAGAGATATAATTGCATATCTAAATTACCGAGTTGGGACACTGTTATAATTTCTTATAAAGTGAAGGTACAATTAAAATTTTATACAAAAATTAGAACTAAAACTAAATTAAAAGTTTTCAAAAAAAATTAAAATTAGAAAATTAAATGGGGAGATGTGTCCTCCACTCACATGCATGTGGCTCCCTTACTGCTTATGAGGAGGCCGTGGTGACACTTGTCGTGCATCGATAGAGCATCATGACGACTCGCTCAATAGTTTGGAGCTATCATACGGTGGAGGGGGCACATTGAAGAGAAGGTATGCAACGGAGAAGCGCTACGACTGTTAACACTTTGCAGTGGGTAGAACTATAGAAGGTGTTGGGCAGATGACCATTGGTGATGCTCTATCTTAACGGCACCTCTACAAGGTTAGACATCAAACTTTAATATTACGGGCATGACCCAATCCAATAAAGATAGAAAACTCTAAAAAAAAAAAAACCAAATAAGATTTTAAAAATAAGAGAAAAGACGACAAATACCCTTTAAATTATATGGCTCTAAATTTTTATCGCCAATTTTTAATTAATACTCTTTTTAGTTAAATAACTATATTAGTCAAAAGAGTGTTAATAAATAGTCAAAGGTAAAAATCTAAACTCGTACTCTCTAAGGGTGAGTTCAACAATTTTCTAGAGAAACAGACCAACCAAAAAATTGTCTCTCAAAGCCAAATTTCTCAAACCAATATTTCAAAATCAACATTTTTCAAAAATTCAAACCAAGTCCTAGGCTTTTGATTAAGTTTGTATTTATGGAACTGAATACACTTGCGGGCTAAGGTTGGCTTAAACTCTCTTTTTATTATACTAGTGGAAACCGCACTCATGTGCACGTGAGATTCTATAAGTAAGAATGAAAAACATCTTTATTAAGGTCTCATTTAGAGATATAAAAAAAGTATAATAGGATAAAAATGAAAAAAGGGAGACAAAAAAAATGAAAAGAGACAGGGAAAAGGAACGAAAATTTTTTTTTTTAAAAAAACTTGCTTACGAAACGTTTTATAAGGGAAACATGATTTTAAAAAAAATTAGACAGTAATATGTACAAGAAGAAATTATTTAAATAGGGAACTTATACAGACAGTTCCCCGATTTTTTACCCGAACCTGACCCACCGAAAACAAAACTAGCCATTGGATCCGAATTTGGGAGAAAAAAATAATTTTTTAACCCAAAAATTTCCCTATAAATACCCCCATCCCCCACACATTTTTCTCACTCAAACTCTCTCAATCCCTCTTAATTTCTCTCAGTCTCTCTCAATTTCTCTTAATATCTCTCAATCTTTCTCAATCTCTCAAATCTCTATCACAATTTTTTCAAAAACTATCACATTATCTTAATGCTATCACAATTTTTTCAAAAACTATCACATTATCTTAATGCTATCACAATTTTTTATAATGGATTCTTTTGGTTATAGTGGTATTTCTGTTGATGCCACTAATGAATTTGTTACGCATGAATATACTAATATGAGCTCTGGTGGATGTACTGGAGGTCGTGGTCGCAATGGTGGTGGGTGTGGAAAAGCGGCGAGTGCAAGTGTGATTACGTATGCAAGTGTTGCAACCTCCAGGAGGAAATGTAAGTGCACCTCGACAATTTGGGATCACTTCGACATAATTGAGGAGATTGACAATGAAGGTAACACTAAACATATAGCTCAGTGTAAATATTGTTTATCTAAATTATAAGGTGGCATTATTCATGGCACCACACACTTGAGAAGACACTCCGAAAAGCGTCTTCAAAAGCTTAGCCAGTCCGGCGGACCCAAACTCCATCAAACACAATTATCTTTTGATTGCGCAACTGGTGGTCTAACCACTTGGAAATACGATCCGCAAGTAGATCGTATGGAAGTTACACGAATGATAGCTGCATTAGATCGACCACTTAGTTTTGTAGAGCATCCTAATTGGCAACGATATATTAAGGTTGTACATAATCTTAATGCACAATTCACTTCAAAAACTACTCTTAGGAAAGATTTATTAAAATTATTTAAAAAAGAAAAAGAAGCAGTAATAAACCTTTTACACTCGACTAACTGGTGCGTTGTGTTAACGACAAATATTTGGTCTGCCGTTGCCAAAAAAAATTATTTAGCTGTAACCGGACATTACTTTAAAGAATTCGATTTAGATAAGAGAATATTAAGTTTTAAATGTGTTCTAGGATCACATAGCGTGGATTTAATATATAATACAATTTTAAATGTGATTGATGAATTTAGATTAAGAGATAAAGTAATGGCTATAATATTAGATAATGCTAGTGCCAATACAAAAGTAATTGAGTTCTTTGAAAATGATTTAAGTTTATTCGGTAACGGTACTGTTTTCCACCAACATTGTGCATGTCACATAATAAATTTAATAGTTAAATCCGGTTTAAAAGAACTTAGTACTTACATTAAAAGAAGTAGAGATAGTCTTGCATAGATTCAAGGTAGTAACCAAAGACAAGAAGATCGGTTTAGGTTCTTACAAGCATTAAATATACCTCTTAGAGCACTAGCGTTAGATATGCTTGTAAGATGGAACTCAATTTATATAATGCTTCAACAATGCATCCCCTATAACGATGTTATAACAAACTATATGTGTGTAAAATTAGGAGTAGGACATATAGACGCATATGATTGATAGATTGCCAAAGTTTTGTATCAATTTTTAGGTAGGTTTCATGAAGTTACTTTAAAACTTAGTGAAACATATTACCCAACATCACCTTTAACTTTAGGTGAACTTTTAAGAATTAGTATTTTATTTAGTGAATATAGGGAGGACCCAATCTTATGAGTTCCTATCCATTCTATAGAAAAGAATTTAAAAAATATTGATCTAAGTTACCTTTGTTGTATGGTTTATGTACTATTTTTTATCATAGATTAAAATTAGACAGTTTAGAAAGTAGTTTAGAAAACTTAGGTGAATTTTTAGGCATCAATTGTTCGGACCAATTTCCAACAATAAAGGCAAAAATATATTCGATCTATAGTAAATATGAGAATAAGTTTAGAAGCACAAACTCTAGAGTACATGAACCGCAACAACAAGATAAAAACCCACATTCATTCTTGAATGTTTTCGGGTTGAAGAAGAAGAAGAAGACAACTCAAACAGAAGCTGGGAGTTGATCTTCATCAACAGGTGGCAGCAGCGGCAGCAGCTTCAACGAGCTTATGGCGTACCCCAGTGAGAGCTTAGTAGTCGACGATATTAGAGAATCGTTTGACTTAGTTCAATGGTGGAAGACATGGGCATTAACTTGGCAAATCCTAACTCAATTGGCAATGGATATATTTTCGATCCCAGTCTCCACTGTTTCATCCGCACAAGCCTTCAGTACGACAGAACAATACTTGAGGAACGCCGAAACACATTGCAAAGGGATATTGTTGAAGCCTTGGTCTACCTTAAGGATTGGGATCATGCCGATCAACGTCTACAGGGTACAATTTCGATGGCAGTTAAGAATGGATCGATGAATTTAATAGATTAACATTTAATTTTGAAGACGAACCTTCAGCTTCAAATTAAATTGTAAATTTGTAATTTGTAATTTGTAAATATGTGTTTGCTTTTGACATTGTAATTGTATAACTTTGTAAGTTTGTAAAATTTATAATTCGTCACAAAATGATTGCACTCTTTTTTCCTTAACAAATTTTTTATCCCAATTGGATTTTTCTTGGTAAGGTTTTTAACGAGTCAATCATGAATTACCAATTTAAAAATTAATATATAAAATTAATTTATTAAATTGTGTTAATAATGTGTATTGAATGTTGATTTTAGTTTTTGTATAATTTAACACAAAATAACTTAATAATTATAAAAATATAAAAATATAAAAAAAAGTTTCCGGCATTCGGGCAGGCTCGGGCTGCCCGGCCAGGCTCAGGTAGCCAAATACAGGCCCGCGGCCCGTCCACAGGCTTTCTCGGGCTCGAGCGGGCGGCCCAAAAATTTCAAGTGGGTCGGGCCAGGCATCGGACAAAAACTCAGTATTTTCGGGCAGTCGCAAGTGGCCCGTCCAAAGTTCCAGTACTAGAGGTTACGGTCTAGGCATGTAGGATAATAGGCTACTCGAAAGAAACCATCAGAGAACCCCATGTCACAGTCCGCCCCATATGTAATCTGTGAGATATAAAAAGGGCAAGGCCCCAGAGAGAAGAGAGAGGCTGATTCTGTAACCTTTGAAGGAAGAAAGAAAGGAAAATACAATAACAAGTGGATGTAGCTCTTTTATTATAGGGTGAACCACTATAACCTCGTGTGTTCTTTTTGTTTAACGACAGATCCATACCACTTCAAAATACCTTGAAGATAAGTACAACCGGTTGCACTTCCCGATAATATAACTAGTTTTTACCGATAACCCGACTGACTACCGAGTGGTAATCTGGCGTAATCTTATTGGTAAAATTTCACCGTCAACATTATGTTTACTGTTTTACGTCGACATGTTTATAAGTATTTTATGTCCTATGGATTTAAATATTTTATTTTCATTATGCATGCTTAATTTCTGATTTTAGATGTTTTATTTTCAACTATATAGATGTTTGTGATTGAAAAATAGCAAATGTTCATCCCAATTATGATTGGGAACTTGTTGATAAATCTTACTTCAAAACTTTCCATCCGATCTATAGCTAATTTTTAGACTCCTTCTAAATAAAGTGAACTTTACCACTTGACTAGTCTAATTTAAAAGATAAAAATATATAGACTAATATTAAAAGATAAAAATAAAAGGAACTCCATTAGATAAGATATTTTTTAGAATTGTCCTTTTTGACAATTACTTGCCCCACCTTCTAAAAAGTCCAACAATGTTCAATAACGTACATAACACTCGTTCTTTTTATGAGCCCGTTTAGTTCGCTAATTTGAGTTTTTAATTCGAGTTGAGATGTGATTTTATATGAGAGCTTTTTACTGTAGCAAAAAAGTTATATGTGATTGTTTGTGAGAGCTTTTTACTGTAGCAAAACTCGAATTCTAAACTCGAATTAGCGAAATGAACAGGGCCTATGTTTTTTCGATTTACAATAGTTTCATACATGGGATTACGTCATTTTTTTTTGGAACTCCGGTCAACATCACTTATCAAAGTATTTTTCTTGACTATACACATCAATATCTTTTTCGCCACTGAAAAAACACGTACAATATCACTTTAAAAAAAAAAATGTACAATAAAATTTCACATTCGACACTAACCATCGAAATGCCTTGTACGTTATCTAAGTAGCAATTGCAGTTCGCAAGAGTCGTCTCAATAGGAAGTTAATAACTTACCCTAATTAAGTTGACTAAGGATAAAAACTTCTAGATAATAAAAGAGAAAATTAGAGATATGTTCCTCATAAATCACGTCGTTACTCCTGTCAACAACTAATTTTTCAGAGCCAACATGAGCTCAAATGGGCTAGCACAACGAAGCAAGTGGCACGACACGATGCATAAGTGCATTGGTCAACTTACCAGGATAAGTCAACGTGCAAGGACTTGTTGGTTAGCACAATACCACAAAGATAAACAGCGGACCTTACCAAGTCCAACATAAAAAGCATGAACATGCTTATGCTAAATGGGAGAAGACTTTTGTTCCCTTTGCCAAGCAGTTATCCTCACCTAAACCGTTAAAAACTCAACGTTCCATTGACGGAAATATCAAAGTTGTAACATATAATAAGTCCAGGGAAAATTTTGTGCCATTTTGAGTTATAGAGGCTAAAATAAGATAGTTCCTATTCTTCAGGGGCCAAATATGAAATTAACACTTAGTCACATTCATTGTATGATATGCATAAAATAATGTCTTTTGGTCATAGGGACATGTAGATCATGTGTCTCAAAAAATTTGTTTGGATCATACAAGCATATTATAATGAATGAAAGAGGCTCAAAATAGTCCTTCGACACACACACACACACATCCGTAGCTACAGTTCATCATGAGTCAAACAGACAAGGTAAGCAATTAAGCCAACCACAGGGAAAAATCCAAGGAATTTTACCATACCGACCTTCCTTTGCTCAACGTTTTGAAGGTTGTCACCTATTAACCAAGGCTGGAAAACAATGTAAAAACCAATATCCCAAATGAATGCATATGCAAGCCTCTCTGATCCGAGATAACTGATCAAAACCTCAAATCTCTCTACAATTCCACCAAAATTGCCATCCATTCGGCCGAAGAGTGCCCATAGAACAGATATTAGACACACAACTCCACCACTAAGTCCGACAACCGACGCGCCTTTGGTCATCACAGACTCCAGCTGCGAGCGCTTTCTCTGAGTGTAGTTTGAGTCAGTCTTATTTAGTCGGATTGCCATGTAAGGTATCAAAAATGCTGGTGACACATAATATAAAAGTGTCAATGAACTCCATTTGAATGGAATTTTAACACAACATTCATGTAACAAATCGAGTGAAGAGAAATTTTCCCACAAATATTTTAGTTAAGCTCTACATGACCAAGCAAATCCAAATGCTCATCAGTCATGAGAGTTGCCAAGGAACATACTGTTTGTGAGGAACATCTGCAGGCCCCACAAAACGTCTAGAGAGCCCTTGTATCTGTCCCTCCGGCGATCCGTGAACAGCAAAGGAGCAAACATGAATGTCCACCCAATGACAAAGTTGAAAAGTCCTTCAGACATCTTATTAAAGGAAAATTAAGCATTATTAGAAATAAATCTTTGGATTAATAAACAATTTGGTAAATCACAAAGTACTAACCAAATATAGTTTCACAAAATAATCCATACCGGGTGTAGAACTGGGGCTTCAAGCACATAAATGCCGACTACTCTGCCAAGAAGGTAAATGCAGATATCACATGACAAGAACTTGCTCAAAGAATCAGAATGACAACGAACTAGAAAAACCAGAGGAAAATACAATCCACTGCTCGATATACAAAAATTAGATAAGACTTTCAATATGAACATGACACTCAGAAGCCTATTTGGCATTTGCTTTTGCTTATGTTCTTGGGCAATAGAAGAAGAGGAATTTAAACTATAATTTTTCAGTTAGCGTTTGCAGCTACAATTTTAAAAGAGCTTAATGAGACAAAAGGATATCCAAATAAATAGAACTGTTAGAATGAATTTTATAAAATCTCATTAAAGCTCTTGTACAAGTTTCAAAATCTTCTTAAAAGAGTTGTTTTTCTTAAGTTACAACTTTGCTAAAAGCTATTTTGAACACATTTAAAAGCAAGTTTTGGACCCAAAAAGCCGAAAACAACTATAAGGAAACAATGCCAGACAGGCCCTCGATCCGATTTTCCATAGGTTTCCAACTCACCGAAACATCTTTTCCCTATAAATAACCAGAGACAACCCCGTGTCCATGACGCATGGAATTTACAATGCACTATGTTATAATGAGGTAGCATTAAAATCTTCTTCTTTCAAAAGCAAGAAGTGTACATGATACATTTGAGCCAGAAATTTGTTCAGAAACAATAAAAGTATAGAAAATTGTGATTAGCTTAGCCAAAATAACAAAAACAAAGGTAACATCAAAACAAGTCTGGAAGTGGGGTTGTAGACAACCTCACTCCACTATAAGGTAAAGAGTTCGAATCCCCCATGATGGAGATCACAATACTAATTTCTGTTATTATGTCAGGCGCAAATATAGAAACTAGGATATTATTTTATTTTCTTCCTTTTATTATATTTAGTTTTTGGTTACTAGTATATTTTCTTAAGTTAGTTGCCTATTATGTTTTGTGCGAATTTCGAAAACCTGTGAGGCATTGCCAAGATCGGAATATGTTTTTTTTGTAGTATCCCATACGTCTTTAGCAGTAGAAAGAAAGAGATATCGGCGGCTGATCATGGGTTCCATGGAGTTGATAAGCCATGCGTGTACAATCAAGTTTTCGGCAAATCACTTTTTGTATGTAGAGTCGGTCGGTGCTAGAGCTTTAGCTTCACCAGTGATGTATTCGAATTTTCTCCTGCCACAGATCACAATTTTTATTGATTGAGACCATTGAAGATAATTTTTTCCATTGAGTTTGTGAGCCGTAATTTGGAGAGTTATTGTCTCCACCTTGAAACGTGTGACGGACTGATCGGCGTGCGTTTTATCAGAGTTTTCTGATTTGGAATCATCTCCACGTGAGGGCCCCATCATGGCTGTTTTGCCATTGAAATATTCAGAGTTCAAGGCTCTGATACCATGAACGCAGTTTAAATAAATCTGCCTTACTTTGTTAATCGAAAGAAAGTTCACTTAAATAGACTAGGGCTTGAATACCGAGTCCATTATCTTCTCTAAGATAATCTATCCTATTTGAATTCAAATACTAATTGATAATTCCTAATCCAAATAACTGGAAATAATAAACAAAATAATAAAGATAACTATTTGACTTATTCAACCTATCTCTAAAAGATCTTATCTGCTAACAAGATTCGACGGTCTTTTTAGATTGGTTGGATAGGATGGATTAGTATTTTGATTGGTACCGCTTGACTGATGACCAACGTCTTAGTATGGCTAGAATTAAGTTAGTGGGTAGTGCCAAGGACGCGTTTGGAACTCGTTCCAAAATGATTTTATTTTTTGTATAAAAATGAAAATGAAAACGTTTTTAATATCAGACATAAATCATTTTTAAAAATGCGTTTGGTAGTTTTATCAAGAGATTATTTTCAGTGTAAAAAAACTCATTAATGTCTCTTTCTCTCTCTCTGCTTGAGAGAGGAGAAAGCGAAAACAAAAAATGAAAAACGACTAAAAGTCGTTTTTCATTTTTCTCTCATCGTTTTCATTTCTGTTTTTTGTCTTTATTGCACCAAACGCCGTTTCGGAAACGTTTTCATTTTTTCTTTCTCGAAAAACGTGAAATAAAAACAGGATCAATTCCAAATACGGCCAAATGTTTTTAGAAAATGGTCATGAGAGATGTTGAGCTTAGACGCCGTACACCAGTTTTGTCGTGGGATGACATGAGAGATATTTTGAGAAACAAGTATGTCTCACCATACTACATGAGCGATCTTTTATCACAGTTCCACAATCTCAGACAAAATACTTCCACTGTTCATGATTATATGTCGAAGTTTGAGGACTTAATGTTGCGTTGTCAAGTTGATGACGAACAACGAGTTCTAGTTACTAGATTTGTAAATGGTTTAAGAGCAGACATTAGGCGTGAAGTTCAATTCCACAACCTTTTTAACATAGACTCTGCTAATCAAAAGCCTTAGATTATGAGAGGTACCTTCGCTATACTCTTAGCCGTCCTTCAAACCCTATGGATATTCGTTCCAACAACCTTCCACTCTTGTTGGGCCTAACACTAGTACACAGCCTTCTACCAATCAACCACCCTCAGGTTCTAGTGCTCCTTCCACCAATCCGGCTAAGAATACGCTTGCTACTCCATCTAGTTCTCGCACTTTTTCGTCCCAGATTGAGTGTCACCACTGTCATGCTAAGGGTCAAATAGTTTCCCGTTGTCCACACCGCACTTTAGTTCTTGATCATGAGGATGACACCCCATTAGAGGATAATAATGACCTTTTCATAGTTGATCACATAGAGCCTGATTATGAGGAGGACCCTTCTGTGCTGTATGACGACGACTTTCCCTTTGATGAGGATTATCTTTCTGTCAAGAGATGCATTTTATCCACCCCTGATGATAGTGATTCTTGGAAACGCACTAGCATTTTCACACTTTTGTTCCTGTTATTGGGAAAACATGTAAGCTAGTCATAGATGGAGGTAGTTCAATGAATGTAATTTCTAAGTCTGCTGTTGAAAAATTTGGTCTTAAGTTAGAGCCACATCCTCATCTATTTAGGGTAGCCTGGGTAGATAAGACTTTCTTACCTGTTAGAGAACGATGTCCAGTCTCAAGATTGGACCATATTCTGAGTATATCTACTGTTAGGTTTTACCTATGAATGTGTCCCACCTTCTTTTAGGTCGCCCATGGTTATATATGATAATGCTGTATGATACGATATCTGCTAAGGCACCTTTCGAGCAGGTGTATACTCCAAGAAGAAGAAACGGGGATGGGAAGAAAGCAATTTAGGAAGGAAAGACAATTTTGTTTTATTTCTTCGATAATCATCTCTCTTACAACCAAAGCTTAAATGGCATGAGCCAAGCGAGAACTTCAGGAGATCGCCTAACCAACTAAGGACTCCAAGGCTGGGACGTTACAACAGAAAATTCAAATCAAGGAAAACTCTAAATTAACAACCATAGTCAGTAAATTCAACCACTATCCGAAAACGACCTCAAACTCTGCAAACGACTTCAGTCACCCTCAACTCACATAGTTGTTTAGTCACTCTGGTTTCTTGATGATGCGTTTGGGCCTCCCAAGCTGGGTTTCCTTCTTGGCTTCGTCTGTGGGCTCTTCAACAGGTTCTGCAGGTTGTTCGTGAACCAGGTCCATGGGCAGAGGAGTGGGCGTATCAGTTCCCTCCCCTTCGAAATCCACCTTGTCCTCAAGGTGGAGGGACGAGTAAGCGTTGTAGAATGCTTCAAAGGGCTCCCAGGTAGCTTCCTCCGGGGTACCTCCTTGCCATTGAACCAGAACTTGTCGCTGCGGCACGCCCTGAGTGAGCACTGTCTGAGTGGCGCAAATGGCACCCGGAGCCTCAACGGGCTTGTTGTCCCAGCTCCCTGGCGGCAGGTCATGTTTCTGGACAACCGCCTTGCCACGGAACAACTTGAGGACTGAAATGTGAAACACCAGGTGGATACGACTCCCATTTGGTAACCCCACTCGATAAGCAACCTGTCCCACCCGTTCTAGAACCGGGAAAGGTCCATAGAAACGTTTGCAAAGCTTATGGTGACGACCCAGAGCAACAGACAACTGACGATAAGGTTGTAATCGAACCAACACCATGTCTCCTATTGCCAAAGATAACTCACGACGGTGAGCATTGGCATTGAGAACCATACGGTTCTGGGCTGCAAGCAAGTTAGCCCGAAGTCTCCGAAGCAGGTCGTCCCGAGTAGTCAGCGCCTCATCAAGAGCTTGGATTGAAGTAGAGCCCCTCGTATACTGTGGAATAGTTGGAGGAGCTCGGCCATAGAGAGCTTGGAAGGGCGACATCTTGAGGCTGCTGTGATAGCTGGTATTGTAATGGAACTCGATCCATCTCAGAAGAGAGACCCAAGTGCTTGGTTTCTCTTGGGTAAAGGCCCTCAAGTACTGCTCCAATCCACGATTGACAACCTCGGATTGCCTGTCCGTTTGAGGATGGTAAGCACTGCTCATAGACAATTGTGTGCCACTCAACTGAAATAGCTGCTGCCAGAAAGTGCTCAGGAAAACCGGATCATGATCCGACACGATAGAGCGAGGAAACCCATGATGACGCACCACCAAGTCCACAAATAAAGTGGCCACTTTGCTTGCGGTGAAGGCAGTAGGTAAAGGGCCAAAATGCGCTGATTTAGACAAGCGATCCACCACCACCATAATGACAGAAAGCCCCTTTGACGGAGGAAGACCGGTGATGAAGTCCATGGTCACGTCCTCCCACACAGCCTCTGGAATTGGAAAGGGTTGCAACAACCCAGCAGGAGCCTGGGTGGAGTATTTCACCTGCTGACAGAGGAGACAGTTGGCAAATGTGGTTGACTACCGTTTGGCGCATCTTGGGCTAGTAAAAATTGGCTGACAAGCGAACGAGGGTACGTTTGATTCACACGTGCCCACCACTAGGGGTGTCATGGAACTCTTAGAGGAGCAACTCACGGAGGGTCGACGTTGGACTGATGACATAACGCCCACGAAAGAGAAGGAGGCCCCGAACCACTGAGTAGGATGCAGGTAGAAGTGGTGTTTGGTATGGAGAGCTTGCAAAAATGGCTCTGTGAGGTTTTCATGTTGCAACTTATCCAGCAGGTGGTAAACCGGGCTAGAAACCAGAGCAAGAAAGCATGATAAAGAGCCATCCGTCAGGTCATCCCACTCTGCTGGCACCTGAGAAAGCGCATCAGCAGCGCGATTGGAGCTTCCGGGCTTGTACTCAATACGAAAGTGGAACCCCAGAAGTTTTCGAACATAAGCTGGCTGATCCGGTATCTGAATAACCTGCTGTAAAAGCTCTTTGATGCTCTTATGATCGGTTCGAATCACAAAAAACTGGCCCAACAAATATTGCCTCCCTTTAAGAACAGCCTCCGTGATGGCATGCAACTCTTTGATGTAAACTGAGGACGCTCGCAAATGGGGACCCAATTTCCGACTGAAAAAGGCGATGGGGTGGCCTTGCTGCATGAGAACAGCCCCAAGACCATCATTGGAATCGACTTCGAGCATGAATTGCTGTAAGGTGTTGTGGACAGAATCAGATAGAGCTTCGAGCTGCTGCTGAGAGATCAGGGAACTGTCAGAAGAAGCCATGGAAGAGGGAGAACGACGATGAAAGCACCAATGATACGATATCTGCTAAGGCACCTTTCAAGCAGGTGTATACTCCAAGAAGAAGAAACATGGAAGGGAAGAAAGCAATTTAGGAAGGAAAGAAAATTTTGTTTTATTTCTTCGATAACCATCTCTCTTACAATCAAAGCTTAAATGGCATGAGCCAAGCGACAACTTCGGGAGATCGCCTAACCAACTAAGGACTCCAAGGCTGGGACGTTACAATAGAAAATTCAAATCAAGGAAAACTCTAAATTAACAACCATAGTCAGTAAATTCAACCACTATCCGAAAACGACCTCAAACTCTACAAACGACTTCAGTCACCCTCAACTCACATAGTCGTTTAGCCACTCTAGTTTCTTGATGATGCGTTTGGGCCTCCCAAGCTGGGCTTCCTTCTTGGCTTCGTCTGTGGGCTCTTCAACAGGTTCTGCAGGTTGTTCGTGAACCAGGTCCATGGGCAGAGGAGTGGGCGTATCACTGTACAACATTATGGTCGTAATAATACCTATAAGTTCACGTGTTGTAAGAAGACCATTCTTTTGCGTCCTGTCAAACCCGTTTCACGACCCTGTCCTGTAGCTAAACCATTTTCTAGGAAACCCACGGCCCAAAGACTCCAAATTTTGACCCATAAGTCTTTTGAGAAAGAAAGATCCACAGGTAAAAGTCCTTTTGAGATTGTCTATGGCCTCCTTTTACGTCAACCTGTTGACCTTATTCCTTTGCCTATTGATTACCGTTGTTCTGATTACGCCCAAGATTTTGCTGATCACATCCATACTTTGCATGCTGAGATTAGACGAAAATTTATTTTGAGTAATGATAAATATAAACTTGCTGCTGACGCACATCGTAGGCATAAAGAATCTAATGAAGGTGATTATGTCATGGTTCGCATTAATCCTAAACGTTATCCAAAACATGCTGTTAAAAAGTTAGATGCACAAACTATTGGCTCTTTTCCTATCCTTCGTAGACTTAGATCTAATGCTTATTTAATCGATTTGCCATCAAATATGTCTATTAGTCCATTTTTCAATGTTGCAGATTTGTTCCCTTACCGAGGTACTTTCGAGTCTCCAGTTTTACCTTCTTCTATTTTTGTAGGTACATATTCTGCACCAGTTGCTCGTGCTCCTTCTGCTCCTTTAGATCCTCCTGAGGTTATTCTTGATGCTCTTGACAATGAGTTTGTTACTTCACCTATTGGTGGTTGTCGTTGCTCTCTTGTTCGTTGGAAAGATCGTCATTCGACTGATGATACTTGGATAACTGAAGAAGAGTTCCGTCAACGTGCTCCTACCATCTTGGACAACTACTTGCAATCTAAGTCGTCGGAGTCGAGTTCTTTTCAACAGGGAGGAAATGATGGAGATCACAATACTAGTTTCCGTTATTATGTCAGGCGCAAATATAGAAACTAGGATATTATTTTATTTTCTTTCTTTTATTATATTTAGTTTTTGGTAACTAGTATATTTTCCTAAGTTAGTTTCCTATTATGTTTTGTTTCCCAATTGTATTTAGTTTCCTAATTGCGTTTAGTTTCCTATTAGTGTTTGAATTGCTTATCTATAAATAGGCCTAGTATTGTTCATTGTTTTTGGAGAACTTATTGATTGATATTACAAGTATTCAGTTTTCCTCTCTCTAAAGTTCTTCCCTTTCTCTCTCTAAATTCTCCTCTTATTCTACCTTAATTCTTCTTTTTCCTGTCTTCTTCCTTTTCTTCTTCTTCTCTCTTTTTTTCTCTACTCAGACCCTACATCACCCCACCTCCAAGTTCCCCAAAAGAAAAAAAAAAAAAATGTATGTATGTATGTATGTATGTATATATAGAAGATATAAAAGTGTTATATAAATGTATATACCGGGAAGTGGGACAACCAAGGTTCTACTATTACAATATGTTACACTCCTAAATAAGCCATTGAGTGTGCTGCAACCAAATAATGTTAACTAAAGCGGAGTGTACACTATCCATAACACTTTTATATCTTCTACTGACGACAAGTACACCAAAAGTTAAGGTCAAGAATCAATAGAATAAAAAAATGGTCTGGACTCAAGTAAACTAATATCCTAAACAGACTAGAAAATATTAACAAGACACATAATGAACACAACAGAGTATTTTATTGAACATATACAACAACAGAAATTTGAACAAACTTACCAGCATTCATGAGAGGCAATATAAAGAAGAAATTGAGAGAAAGACCCACAAGCGAATTCACTGTCTCCGCACTGATTGCCCACACAGGATCTCCCTGATTATTAATTTTTTTTTTATAGAAAAAAATGCAATACTATGAACATCAGAAAAATAAGAAAGAAGAAAAACAGAAAAAGGCAAAAAAGGAATATTTTAATTACAGGGGCATAAGGGAGAAGAAAAAGCCAGAAAATGTAGACTCCTTCTGCGACCCAAAGCAACGCTTGAGTCGCTCTCCGTAAATCATCATCCAACTCTTCCATGGAGGCGCTAGGTTTCTGTGGAGAGGCGCGGCATGTGAGCTTATCGCTGAATCCAAACGGAAACTCCAATTTCGATTTCGTGGTCTCGAAGGATTTTGAAGGCAATGTCTTGACGAATGAAGGAGAGAGATGGGTTATCTGATTTCTCGAGCGATGAATAACGGGTTTCTTCCGAAGGAAGGAACGATTGTTGCAGAGCAGAGCTTGAGAGGCTGCCATGATGGAGCTCATCTCTCGTTTCTGCTTTCTCAACTTGCGTCTCAGCTCTCACCACGAAATACCTGTCGAGTGGATTTGACGAGATAGTGGTCTTTCGGTAATTTTGGCCTTTCTGGGGAGGACTAATCAGTCCTTTCGTACGCTTTAATTTGAACTCTACTTTTCATGAGGGAGTCGCATGTGATTACCACTAGTTGTGCCTAAAACCACTCAGGTAAGAGTTTTGATGTTTTAAAGATGTTTGGTTCGTGGATTAAAATTATGTGATTAAAATTATTTTTAATTTATGTGTATTTTTTAATGAGAAAAAATATTATAATAAATTATAAATTATGATTCGAATCATGATTTGAATCCTCCAATCAAACGTAATTTTGAGTAAATTAGTTAGGGTTGTTCACAGATTTATGATTTTTAAAATCGCTGACCCCGTTTCATGTCAATATTGTTAATAAACTGTTAAAAATTAGACCATACCATTTTTTTAATAATCCAATTGGATTTTTAACTTTCTCTAACGGTTCAGACCGGATCAATCCATTAAGGATATATTTAAAAAATAAGAAACAATAAATATAAAAACTTTTGAGCATTTTGAGTAAAACTACTTAGTTTTGTTTAATAGTTATAGACTTTTGTTTTGACCTACATATTATTGTTGTATGTAACTTTTAGAGTGCTAATTTTAAAGGATAATATGTATTATGTAACATATTATTTTGTTATTTTTTTAAAAAAAATTACAATATCGGTCTAAATTACAATTTAACCAAATCAGAACATTTGCAAACAGTCTGATTTGATCCGATCCCATCTTACAAATAGTCTAGTCCGGTCTGAATTTCTTAAAACTGTTAATAATGATCTGGTCTGAAAACTTAACGGTTTAAGACCAGATTAGTTCCATGAACAACCCTAAAATTAATGAGATGCTACTTAAATTTTTAATTATAATACATTAATCTTTGAATATAATATTGTTATAAAGTGCTAATAAATTATTGAATGATGTCCTTTTGACTTAAAAAGATGTGGGAACAACTACTAGTCATAGCTACTCCTTTGATCGCTAACCCAGATATCTCATGTGTTGAATAATATATGTATTGAACCATAGATACTTGTAACAAGTGACAAGCGCGTCACTTCAACGTTAAAATAGTCTCAACTTTTTGGCGTGGGACCCAAACCTCAGACATTTATCAATCCACTTCGGACTAAAGGGCACTATCCACTAGGATACTACCTTCGTGATAAATCTTCATCATATTACAACTTATAAGAAAACATCTTTATTTACATGACATGACGTGCTTCTATTATCATCAAAATTTCCAATTTTTCCCTCAAACAAATTCATATAACATGTACAGGGATGTTTTCTCTAAATTTTAACAATTTGCCTTAGTTTGGTTGACCCTGCAACATTTTTGTAAATTTAGAATAATTTGACAAAACTAAGAATATAAGGGCTAACTTGTAAATTATGAAAAGTTCAAGGGTAGATGTCCCAAAATACCTTTTGTAAATATCGACAATCAAAGGGCTCGTTCATTTCACCGGTTCGAGTTTTCAGTTCTAAGTTTCTACAGTAAAAATCTCTAAAAAATGTCACATCTAACTTTTTTTGCTACAGTGAAAAGTTCTAAAAAAATATCACATCTCAACTCAAATTGAAAACTCAAATCCGTGAAGTAAACAAGGCCTGACTATAGGAAAACTAAACGTTGTTTTGGACAAGCCAACTCCTTTTTTAGTTATTTTTTTTTTGTTTTTTGTTTGCATAGAATCCTCCTAAACTTTGCCTATTTAGTAGATTGATTCTTAAGTTAAAAATCTTTATAATTAACTTTTAAAATTTTAAAATTTATTGCATAACCAATCTAATTAAAAACGGTGTTAAAAGGGACGGATATTTTATACATGACTAGCACGTGACACTTTAAGAAGGGCCAGGTCCATTTGATGATTTGGGAATTAATAAAAAAATTAATAAAAATTAAAATAAGGGTCGTTTAGTTCGTTGATTTAAAATTTTAACTTAAGTTAAAATGTGATTTTATGTAATAATTTTTTACTGTAATAAAAAAATTAAATATAATTATTTTTAAGAGTTTTTTATTATAATAAAATTTAAATTTTAAACTCGAATCGGTAAAATCAACGGAGTTGAGAAAAAATAAGGAAAAGGGGAAAAAATGACGGAAATAAAAAAACGTAGCTCCCAATCTCTCACATTGATTTCTACGTCGTCTTCCATCCCCCCATCCACTCACCGTCGAGTCCCCACCGCGCCTGATTCTCGGCGGTGCATCTGTCCTCTCCGCCACCAGATCCAGGCGTCATAGCACCCTCGTCGCCAGATTCTGACAACACAGCGGCCCCTTCGCATCCTCTGCGGCGTCGCTGTGCCTCCCTCCGCGATTAGTTTCGAGGTTTCGTCCGTCCTCGCCGTCATAACAGCCTCTCCCCCGGTGGATTCTCGGCGTCGCAACCACCCACCACGAGATTTAGTGAGCTCGTCCCCTACAAAAGAAGAAAAGAAAAGAGGAAAAAAATGTACAAGAGTCACTGCAATTTGACTTTGCCCGCAGGTTGATTTTGGCCAATTCAAAAATTGTTTGGTCTCCTCTTGAAAAAGAAAAAACAAAGAATATAATAAATTTAATAGTCTATTGAACATATATGAACATAGATTCATTCATTGAAATAAAATTCAATTCGCAAGTTGATCCCCTGGTATGGAAAGAGAGTTCCATCTGGTGACATAAATTATTAGAGTGAAAGTTGATGAGTAATGACTTAAAGCAAACACACGAAATAAATTATTGGAGTATAAAGTGGAATATTTTAACGTGAACTTCCGTAATCATAATAATTTATTCTGTAATTAATTAAAACATTTTATAGATAATTATGTTAATATAAATTAACACATGTATGTATATTAAATATTAGTTCATAATAAGATGAATACTTATTTTATTAATTCGTTTGAGGCATTTAAACTTCTTTTATCTCATAATATTTAGTTAATCTATTAGACTAAATACCCTCTCTGAATGAATACTGATTAAAAGTCCTTAGGCCTATTTGGTTTATATAGGCACCACCATTCTTTAGAGAAGGGGGCTTGAGCTTGTGGGGCATATTTTGGAGTGTATGGCCAAACAGGGAGAGAGGGAGAGATATGAAGGAGCTCAATGACTGTTCTTGCCATTCTTCTTCCTTTTGCAGGTACTCCATGGATTCTGATAACTCTAAGAAATTACAGTTATTTTATGCATTTTTAGCTTAAAGTTTGCTTAGCCAAGAGTGTATTTCATTGTTTCTTCTGTGTTTTTAACTTAGATTTTCTGGGTTTGTATTTTATCTTGCTAAATTCTATACTTGTACTGCTTTCGGGTTAAGGAGTGATTTGAGTCACAAAGAGGTTGAAATATGCATAAGTTGTGATTTTACAAATTGCAGGGAGAAAGCAGTAGCATTCTGCTGCAGCATTTTAGGTGCAGCTGGCAAGTGGTATGACATCAGCGCATTACCTGGAAGAAAAGGATAAAAAAACCCATGTGAGCTGATTAAGCTGTATAGTAGTGTGGACCACTTCAGTCCCTATCAATTGAAGCCATATCAAAGAAAGGTCTAACTTTTGGAATAATGGTGTCCATTGTTATTTGATTTGTGCGATCAATAACATTGGTGAATTAGGTGAAGAGTACGGAAAGAGAGGGATTCGAACCCTCGGTAAACAAAAGCCTACATAACAGTTCTAATGCCTTCAACCACTCGGCCATCTCTCATACGTAATGATTATGGTTCATAAACCGAATGAATAGTGATTCATATTAGGTTTTTGGATAGGTGCGTACACTCTATTTTAACTATAAAAATAGAAACTGAGGGGGTCGAAGACCAAGAAGTGAGTTATTTATCAGCCAAGCATTCTTCTTACGGCTAGATCCAATCTCCTGGTCCCTGCGGAAAGGAAAAAGAATTTCACGTTCTTCCTTTCGGGAAGGGAGGTTTTTTTCCTATTGATTGGGGCTTTCTCCAGACCTCTAGGAAAAGAATGAAAAAAAAGGCTCGAATGGTACGATCCCTCCGTCACCCCAGAATGAAAGGGGCGATCTCGTAGTTCTTGGTCTGTGAAGATACGTTGTTAGGTGCTCCGTTTTATTTTCCCATTGAGGCCGAACCTAAACCTGTGCTCGAGAGATAGCTGTCCATATACTGATAAGGGATGTATGGATTCTCGAGAAGAGAGGAGCCGTGGTGGTCCCTCCCGGATCGCCCGGATCCCACGAGTGAATAGAAAGTTGGATCTACATTGGATCTCACCTGAATCGCCCCATCTATCCTCCTGAGGAGAAGTTTGGTTTCAAACCCCGGTTGGTTGTCCCTGTTGTTTTCTTTAGCCTTGAGCAATCCTTGCATCTCCACTATCTTGACGTTAAATGGGACAAGTTATTATATATGGTATGAATCTCTTTATGAATCTGTTAATGATTAAATAGACATAGCCTTGAGAATGGATGTGTTTCCTAGCTTCACTAATGTGTTGAGAAACTCTATGATGAGTGGGAGTGTATGGATAACACCGAGATAGTAGCGTCTCATTTTAGGATGAGACAGTCACTAAAATTAACTTTATGGAGAACGTTGTTGATAAATGTATATATGTAAGGTTGGTGGGAGGTTGCATGTTTCTGTTTTTTATGTCGGTGACAGCTTACTCATGCCTAATGATTCTGACCTATTTGTTGAAACAAATAGCATGTTGCCTAGTCACTTTGGTATGAGAATCTTGAAAATGCCTCTTATGTTCTAGGCATGTAGATTCTCAGTTACAAGGATAAGTGCATTTTTTTGTTCGTCTCAGAGAACCTATATTGTTCTTGTTTCAAACAAGTTCAGTATGCATTCTTGTTCTCCTAGTAAGCATTGTTTGTTAAAATGACAAACTCTTAAAGGTGTAATGTCCTTATGGTGAAATAAGAGAGATCAGATAAAATTGTCCCTTATGCTTACGTGTTTAGCAGCACGATGTATGCTCAAGTATGCACGCATCTTATTATTGTGTTTGTTGTTGACGTGCAGATTTAGTACTTGAGTGATTGTTGTTATTATTATTGAATTAGCTGGGAATGAAGTACCAGATAGTTGTATATCGGTGAACCAACACTTTTGTTGTAGTTGGATCTCGTGATGCCGATTATGTAGGCTGCATAAATGATAAAAGGAGGAGCTACTTTGTTAAAGAGTGTCAAATAGACACTCGTAGCATCCTTGACTGTGATACGGAGTGTGTGGCGTATCATGAGGCTATTTGTGTGATGTAATTGTGGAACCTTATTTCCGCATTAGGACTAGTTCATTCCATTTCTAGACCGGCTGAAACTGTGTTGTGAAGTTCCATAATAGTATATTTCTCTTAGAACACCACGAGCATTGTCCGCTCAAGCATAATGATGGTGTGTTCTATTATTGTAAAGAGAAATTGTAAAAGGCCTCATTGTTTTTGAAAACACGCCTATAAACAACATGTTGATAGTTCCACTAAAGGCTTACCAATAAAGTGTTTTAAGAACACGCATCCCACTCGAGACTGTAAGGAGCATGTAGTTGTATTGAGTTAGTGAGAGTTTACTGCCATTTGTGTGTGACATGTTGTTAAGGATTGCTTATGCCTCAAATAACACATGCATATTCATGGATCGGTCACTTTGTATGTGATGTTGTGTTGACACACTTTTTAATTGGTAAAGTGACAAGTTGAAAAGAGACATTTGGTTGTTAGTCTCTATCATTGTTTTCGATCCATACATTAATGTTGTTCTCATGCTTTGATGAATCTCTAGCACCTGATTATGTATAATGATTGTATCCTGTCGATACGTTATTATGCATGATTATTTTGGGCTTGTGTTTATTATGTGAGATTCTTAGTTAATGCTTATGCTATGATGAGTGAATGTTCATTGTATGATTATGCCGTCCAAGTGGGAGACTGTTGGAATATTTTTATGTGAACTTCCATAATCATAATAATTCACTCTGTAATTAATTAAAGCATTTTATAGACAACTGTGTTAATGTGAATTAACACATGCATGTATGTTAAATATCAGTCCATAATGGGATGTACATTTATTTTATTAACTCGCTTGAGGTATTTGAACTCCCTCAATCTCATAATATTTAGTCAACCCATTGGACCAAATATCCTCGAATGAATACTGGTTAAAAGCCCTTAGGCCTATTTGGTTTATATAGGCACCACCCCTTCTTTAGAGAAGGGGGGTTTGAGCTTGTGGGGCTTATTTTGGGGTGTATGGCCAAACAGAGAAAGATGGAGAGATATGGAGGAGCTCAATGGTTCCTCTTGCCCTTCTTCTTCCTTTTGCAAGTTCTCCATGGATTCCGGCCGGCCATCGATGTTTTCCGGCAACCATGAACGACGTGCTTCCACTGCCCACCGGAATATGAGGTATGCCTAAATCCCAAATAACAATTTTGTGGCATTTTCAGATTTTAGGCTAGATTAATTATTATGATCTTGTTTAGATTATGTGTAGATCATTTTAAATCTAGCATAAAGTTGATGAGTGAGAGACGTTGAAAGGCAGTTTATCAAAAAAACCCAAAAATGAGTTTAGTGAGAAAACCCAGAATAGGAAGCAATTAGTTTTTGAGAACTTGAGCTCTGAGATCCTTCCTCTCACCACATTCACCATGGCAGCGCCACGATGGGCGACCATCTCTCCCTTCCGGCGATAGCAGCCTAACTTCCCCTCGTGTTTGTCTCTCCGGTGGGTCAGTTTTTAGGTTTAATTTAAGCTTTTATATTCTCTTTTTTAAGATGTAATTGTTACTAATGTACAATTTTGCCCCTCATAAGTGACACGTGAAGGGAACGTGACTACTCCGTCTAGTTTTTACTAGTTTTTAACACTGTTTTCAATTGGACCAGCTACACAATATATTATAAAGTTTAAGGGGTTGCTTGTAAATATTTTTAATTTAGGGATCAATCTACCAAAAACGCAAAGTTCAGGGAGGTTCAATGAAAAAAGCCTTTTTGCTTTCTTTGCAAGTTTTGCGGCTACATGTGTAATTAGACTAACAAGACGCCCGTGTATTGGAGCTTTCTTAGAAAAATTTTCCCGCCCTTCGACGCCCCCAAAACATCGCGATTATGGCTCCCAAATCTGATAGTGCCGAAGGTGACTCTTCTTTGACTTGTTTCCGTTTTCTTCTCACAATTATTTCAACTTCATTTGTCGAATTTCTTCCTTTGATTATGATTTTCCATCTTCGATTTACTAAGTCGGGCTTTTCTTTTTCGTCTGTATTTTGGGTTTATTTTGGTACATTTTTTTTGCAGCAATCGTGCTCAACTTCGTCAATGAGGTAACGATATTCTTATTATTGATTAGGATTTTGACCCCATTTTTCGCATTCTTCTGATAATAGATTATATAAATTTAAGTCGAAAACGCATAATTTTTGTTTTCTTTTGCTAATTGATTAAGAAACCAAAAATCAATCCCCATTTTCTTTCATAGTTGAGAACTAACAAATTCCAATTCGTCTGTCTGTAAGTTTCCAGGTTTAACTTTATTTTCCCACACTAATCTACGGAGCATAATTTTTCACTCTTTTCCTTTTAGCCTCTATTTTATTTTATTTTTTCCGGAAGAGAAAAAAGCAAAAGGAAAACGTAGTAAGAGATTTTCTGGCGGAAAAAAATGTACTTCTACATACTTGCATCGTCCTGTCTCAAATATTCTTCCTTTTTTGTGCTTTTTCCTATTGCGTTTAAGCCAAAAGTTATGTTCGCCCTAATATTGCTCTATATTTGTCCAGCAAAACAGGCCGTTGAATTCTCAAAATGTGGCCGATTCGCTGCAAAAGTTCAACCTCAAGAAGGCGTCAATCCAGAAAGCTCTGGATAATCTTGCTGATAGCGGGCGGATTTCGTTCAAGGAATACGGAAAGCAGAAGATATACCTTGCTAGGCAGGACCAGTTCGACATCCCAAATGGCGAAGAGCTTAACAAGATGAAGGAAGAAAATGCGAATTTGCAGGAACAGCTTCAAGAACAAAAGAAAGGAATTAGCGAGGTTGAAGGAGGTACTCTTTGTTCTCATTCATTCTATGTTTGCAGGAGATGATAATTTCTTGTTATATTAGAAAGATTATAAGATAGAGATAATTTGTTGCAGAAATAAAGGTTTTGCAGTCAAATTTAACGCTGGAACAGATGCGTGAAAAGGAAGCCAAACTAAGAATGGAGGTTGGTCAAAATGGACCATCTTTGAATTGGGCTTTGTTTTATTAATAGACTTTCAAGTATGATTATAGCTGGGGGGATTTTCCCAATGTTATATTAGGTCAAGGAAATGGAGAGAAAGCTGGAGAAATTGTGTGGTGGAGTTACGTTGGTGAAGCCAGAAGATCGCAAGGTGGTTGAACAGATGTGTGCAGAGAAAATAGGTCAGTGGAGAAAGCGCAAAAGGATGTTCAAAGATCTCTGGGATGCTATCACTGAGAACTCGCCGAAGGATCTCAAGGAATTCAAGGTTGTTTCATATGATCCAAGGGTCTTGCGAAAATATGATTTGAGGTCTTTTTCGGCATTGGATTTGTTCCTAATACTAGTAATTGATGAATTTTACAGGAAGAACTTGGGTTTGAATATGATGAAGATGTTGGTGTAAGCTTGCCGTCATTTTGTGACCTGCTGCAAAACGGTAATAAGCGGCCAAGAGTTCGGTGAATTTCTGTGATGAAGTCTATCTTAACTGAGTATTTGAGAAGATAGTTTCCTTGCTATTTGACGGCAGGATAACTTTTTGAGGAGAAAGAAGTTTCTTGATGCTCTCAAATTGTTTATCCATCTTTTGTATCCCCCAAATTTGTTTGACCAATTTATGCTTGTTACATCTTAAACCTTTGTAGTTGGCTCATGATATATAAAACAGTTTTTTCAATTCATGTGTTACTGAAACAAGTAAAAGGGTGTCTAGCGAATGCAATAGAATATAGAAATTAAAATTTAGCATAAATACTTCTCTGCTAAAGAAAATCTTCAGCTACCCCTATTTTAGATCTTCTGAAGAGTTATGAGACGGTTTGCGGAAGAGGACCCGGCAATGCATAAACCTTCCTTGACTTGCATACCCAAGTTTGTCAATACGTATGAATCAAGCCCTCTATACCCACGAACAAAAAAGTAAAAGAGTACAACTTAAAATATCTGAAAATTTTTTACCTCCATAACAAAACACAAAATCTTTCATCTTCATAATTCGTTACAAAAACAAAAAATAAAAAACAAAAAGACGAAGAAGTAAAGCATACATTTCATTCAAGAGATCAAGCAAACTCGTTGAATCAACTCATGACATAACCACACAACTAAAATTTGCATGCAGTTGAAAAACGTACCGAAAAACTCAGTAACCCCACAAGTGTCGAGTTCTCACAGAAAATGGCCCCTTTTGTAAGTTTAAACGTGGTGCATTTTCGACCCCAGAGCCCATATCATCTTTTTCTCTGGAGTCTTGCTGCACTGAATCAGCCTTTTGGCAGATTTTCATATCAGACAGAGACGTAATGTTTTTCACATCCATTTCCTCACCATCACTCTCATCGAAAACTACATCCATCGCGGAAGGTTTCACTTGACTCATAGCATCTGAGCTTGAAGAAGAGGATGGCCTCTTCAATCCTACAGTATGATTTTCAACTGGAATTTTCTTTTCTTCTAATGTAGATTCTGTCTTTGTGGGCTCGTTTCTTTGAGAAGATTTTCCTTGTTGACTCTCTGGACCACCCTGATTATCAGAATCATGTCCAGATCTAGAAAGCTCGACCGCTGCTCTTGCGGCCGCTGCAGCATAAGCTGCAGACTCAAAAGCTGCTTGAGCTGCGTCAGCGACATCTTTGTATTGCTTGGTCACCAACTTATCATTGTCGAGATCTTCTGGCAAGCCATGCAGACCCGCAGATGTTTTCGGTGCAGGTTGGTGTTGGTCCTTTTGCACATCTGTCTTCTCCTGCAATGATCACACGAAAGAGGAAGCTGTGTGTTATAAATAGTTATCGAAATTTCAAGTGATTCCTGTTTCTTGGTTAACTTGCATACCTGAGTGGAACAAGGAGCAGCTTCCTCAAGTTGCAGAACAATGCTCTTCTCGGCGGCAATTTCTTTCAGGACCATCATTCTGTTCTCCAAACTTGGCTGCCTAGTTGACAGCTTTTGTATCATCTACATAAATCCAACAAGCATATTAAGAGCCGTCATGCCATAAAAAAAAAATAGTACATCAAAATACAAATCAAAACTGAATATAGCTAAACTCTTACTATATTCAGTTTACTGGTTTTTCTCACCATGTAATGAACTTGATATTCCACATCAACCACCAGTAATATCCAAATTTTCATTTTCACCAACCTTCACAAATCTACCCCAAGACTAGGCACTACATATCATCAACAGAGAGTTGCCACAACATCACACCTCCACCACCTCACATGTAATTACCCAAAAATGTCACTACAGCCACCTTATCGTCTATCTACATTAATTTACTTTGTTTTGACATCTTTCTACCTTTTATCAAACAAGACTTTGTATTTTAATCGAATCAAACAAAAGACTTTGAATCTTAATTGTTCAAAACTTAATTTTGAGTAATTGTGCGTTTAGCAGATTATGCTTCTAAGAATAGTTATTCAAAGTGATTTTATTCTTTTTTTTTTTTAAATCTTGAACGTTTGGTACTTCAGTCTTCTTGTGAGGTCAAGTCTTACATCTTTCTGGGAGAAAAATGAGAAAGAGATATTGGCATGCCTATTTTGACATAGATGCACATTTTATAAAAAACAAAAAAAAAAATGACAAAGCACTGTTCTACATTGAAAACTTAACAAAGAAAATTTCATACATACCGCAAGGTTGACTCCGCAGTTATTACGTAATTCAATGGCGCGAGCTGCGAATTCCTTCCCGAAATGAGACGTGAGAATGGCACGAATCTCATGTAGCTCTGGAAAATCCCCACATCTTGAAGCTGCATAAAGCAAACCTGATGTTGCCTCCCTCAGTTCTTCAGGACACTCTCTGCACAAAAACAAAACAGTATTTGCTTATGATATTAGCAAACTGAGAAACAAGTAAACTAAGAACAATAGAACATATAATCTATATTCAATGGAAAATTTTCAGAATTAAGGGACAAACCTTTCATGTTCAATTAGATGAATCCTCTCAATTAAGAGGTTACAATATTTCTCTATCATGTCATACACATCCAACATATTCTGTTCCTTGATCACATGCTCCACCTGCAAAATTTCATCAAAATAAAAATCCGGGTCTCTATCAAAACGCAAATATACGCATTAAAGACTTGAAGGCTTACGCGAAGAAGAGACCGTTCATGGTTGCCAAGTTGGAGGAGCTGAAGAACATCGGACCGCGCTTGTGAGCACCTGACTTGACGCTGGTGCTTGAGAACAGCAAGGCGAGAGATTGCGAGACTGACGAGAGGTTTGAACTTTGAGGTCCTGAAGTTCTTGCCAAGAAAAGAAGTATACTTGTTTCTCATGCTAATTGATAGATAATTGATATATCTTCTTCCTATAACTTAGTACTGTACTTAGAGCCCTTTGAGAAGAAGGAGAAGACGATTATGGAAGGAGGGCACGAGAGAAAACAAACAAGTCTCGCCGTTTGAACCTTTTTATGTGACTTCAGAAGATGATGAGAAGGAGAAGAAGAAATAAAGAATAATAATAAGCGTTGTTGGTGTGGTTGAGACTTTTGAGACGGGTTTATTTTAAGCGTTTTGTACGTGTTCATGGGAAACTAGATTTTTTTTGCTTAATAACGAAGTCTTTTGTGTGTTATTATTATTATATTACGAGTGAAGAGTGTAAAAGTGACCTGGCTTTCATTTGGACGCACGCGGCGGAGGCTGAGCCAACAATTTCGAGGAAGATAGAGGGGAAGGTCTTGTCACTATTACGCGGAGTGGATGTGGACTTTCTTAAGGCTCAACTTTTTGCTTCTTTCCTTTTATTTGCTTTTTTTCTTTTCTTTTTTTATCCCTTTTTCATAGAGTCGGCAATATAGGTCACGATACGACAACACGACTAGAAAATAACACAAATTTCACGGGTTAGGGTTGAGAAAAAAGAAGTTCAAGTTAGAACTGGGTCGACCTAAAATTGACACGAAAAACATTTGTCAATTTCGGGTTAGACCCACCTAACTCGAACACGGCACGAAACTCGTAAAAAACTAAAAAATACATATATTTTTCATTACATATTTTTGATTTTATTATGAACTTGTGATATCATGATAGTTATACTCAAAATCTTATATTATTATATGCTTAATTTCAATGGATGTTATTGTATTTTAGTGTGTTATGAATTTTAAGTTATTTCTAATATGTAAAAAACTAAACAAAAGTATACAATTTTCGTGTTAATTTCGAGTTCATGGGTTAATTTCGTGTCACGGGTCACTTTCGTGTCATGTCGTGTCAACTCGTAAAGTGGTCGTGTCGTGTTCATGTTTCAGTTTTTAAAAAATTTCGTGTCTCGTGTTCGGGTTGACTGTAAATTTAGAAAGAAACGATCAAAATACGACACGAACACGGCACGTGACACGAATTGTCACCCCTACTTTTTTAATTAGTGCAAATCAATAAATATGAAAATTTCCTTGAAAGAAAAACTAATTAAGAAATTATGGCAATGGAACTTATTTGACTTCCAATATAAAAGTGGATTCTATATTATACATACTACTAAATGAGGCACTTGGGTTACTATTCTTTGAACAACCTGATCTTCTTTGTCCTTTACATTTGTGAAAATATCATGGGTATCCTTTTTTGTTCTATTTACCGTTTTACCCTATATTTTTTATTCTTCCAGTGTATTTCCTTTGGGCGTTTTCATAATTTTGACTCAAATTAGCACTCTCCGACTTTTGCTATTCCTTTTCATGAAGCTTTTGCCTTCATTCCTTCTGAGCATTTTTTTGGTCCCTTCTCTTCTCTCTCTTCCTTTCCGTGAAGCTTCTGGGCTTCACTTCTTCTCTGCATGTCTCTTTTCCCTTTCTTCTCTCTCTATGCAGCTCTTTTGCTTTGTTTCTTTCTTTTGCTTTCTTCTCGCTGTTTTAAAAGTTTCGGTAGTATTGGGTCTTCCTTTTTTTTGAGTTTTTCTGATTTTTTTTACTACGTCTCTTCTTAGTTGCTCGATGGTTTTTTTTTCAAGAATAATTTTGGCCTATGTTTCTTGCTTTTTCGTTCTTTGTTGTTCTTCATTTCTCTGTGGTTTTTTTTTTCCTTCAGATTCTTTAAGATTTCGTTGTGTCAATTTTTTTTCCTCTTATTTTATATCAGGGTTTCATTTTCCCTTTCCCCCCCTTTTTGTGTTATCGTTCGGAATAGATTCTATGTTTTTTTTCTGTCAATTCTTTAAGATTTCGTTCTGTCAAATTTGTTTACTCCTATTTCATATTAGGGTTTTGTTATCTCTTTTTTCTTCTTTCCTTCTTCTCTTTCTTTTTTGTGTTTGGTCGTTTAGGTCTTCGAAATAATCCATTTTTCTTTTATTTTTTTCCTCTTTTCTCTATTTTGGTTGTTTTTTCATAGGTTCTCTGTTCATATTTTTTTTCTCTGCACATTTGATGTTCTATTGTCGTTTTCCTTATTTGTTTCTCTATGTGTTCTTCCTTATCCTCTAATTTTCTATAACGAATATGTAGTTTTTTTCTGTCTTTTGTTCATTAGTTCTATTTCCTGTTGGCTATCATGTTGTGTAACACTTTTTTTTTCACTAATTATTACATGTTTTCATCTTTGTTTCAGGTTATATTAGTCGGGAATGTTTAGACATTTGTTTTTAGTGCAGGGTAATTTTTTCTAATGGATTAAATTTTTTTTCACTGTCTATAGGTTATTCGCTCTGTTCTGCGGTAGTTATCATGCAACGTAACACCTATTTTCAACTAGTTATTACAGTATTAAGTTTTGTTTGCAGTATTTACTACCACCACATGCTCAAAAGTTTATGTTCTTTGTATAAATATATTGTTTTCTCTTTCATGCTTACTATCTTTCGCTTTGTTTCTGTTTTCATTGTCATACAATGACAGCCTATCTTCTTTGTATCCTTTCTTTTCTTCAGTTTTCAATAGTGAGTTTTTTTTTTTTTTTTTTTTTCTTTTGTCTCTGTTTTGAAGTTTTTTTTACTTCTCCTGCATCAACTCTATCCACTTTCATTATTGGTCTGAGGTACTTCTTTCTTACTTCTTCCATGTTATTTCCAACTGCTTTTAAAATTGTATGTATTATATTACTATGATTTCTTAAGTGTATATATTGAGTTGTTAATATATGTGCTCACTGTTTTATGTTATTATGATTATGTTTGTATCAAGTTTGTTAATATTATTTGTAAAATATTGTTTAGTGTTTATATTATATACGTTATTGCTATTTAAGTAAAAATTAGGTTTCTATTTTATTTGTTATCTTAATTTGCCAACACTCCGTTCTCTGTCTAATGTGACTTCTCATTTGGTAATGATGTAGTATTTTTCTTTTATTGTTGTCATATATTAAGTAACTGTTTATAGTGATTTAGCAAGCTTTGACGTTGCCCAGATTATTTAAGATTTATGTTGTTTTACTTATTCTATTTTGTCAACAATATGTTGCTTTTATTGTCATTCTTTACTCTAAAATGGTTTGCTCTTTATCTGATTTTGCTGATGGGTTTTCGTTCTATTCTTTTACTCCTGCCTCTGTTGTTGGTTCGCCAGTTGAACTCATTTTTATGTTTCTGAAGTTTCTGAGAATTTATTTACTTCCTTTATTTTGATGTTTCTTTCCCTTGTTTTTTTACCACTGCAGTATTTCTTCTTTTTCTATTGTCTTTGTTTTGTTCTCATATATTTCAATTAGTCTTCTGGGATTAGTTTGTTTTGTTCTCAAATATTTAAGTCACTTTTTTAGAATTGGTTTCGGTGACGGTTACAAATGCCCTATTATCTTTCTTATCTTTGTCTGTACTATTTATGTTGTCTGCTTTTTTTTTATGTCTTTAGTACAAATCCTCTAATAATTTTGTTGGTATATGTTGTTAGCAGTAAAAGATAGATACTTGAACCATTTTTTCCTTTTACTATTCTGTTTGTGTTTCGTTCTTTTCTTCTTTATTTCTTTTTTCCTTCTTATTTTCCATAAATCTTTATGTAATTCAGCTGGTACTGAATGACATTGCTAAATCCTATTTCAGTTATTCCTAATGCGTGATGTTAGCAATTAAAGGTAAATACATGAACTAAATTCTTTATATCTATCTATTTAATTTCCCTATCTATTTCTTCTTTAGTATTATTCATGTAATCTGCTATTCTACATGAGGTTTCTGAGATTTTATCCTTCTTCTTTTTCTTCATGTTGTCTTCCCCTTGATTTTTTACCACTGCAGTATTTGTTGCTTTGCTATTGTCGTTGTTAACGTTGGACAGAAACTCTTAAGTTTTGATTTTTAGTTCTTTAACATTGTCTCAATATTTTCATATTTGTTTTCTTCTAAAATATTGTAGTTACTCTTTAGGGATTGCTTTCGGTTGTACTTGAAAATTCCCTCATATATGTTGTTATAAATAAAAGATATAAAACCTGAACCGTTTTTTTTCCCTTTACTATTTTGTTTATGTTTTCTTTTTTTATTCCCTATTTCTTTTTCCCTTCTTATGTTGCATAAATTTCTTTATAATTCAGTTGGCACTGAATGACATTGTTAAATCTTATTTCAGTTATTTCTAATGCGTGATGTTAGCAATTGAAAGCAAATACCTGAACCATATTCTTTATATGTGTCTATCTAATTTTCATTTCTATTTCTCCTTTTGTGCTTTCCATGTGATCTACTATTCTACATTAGCTTTTCCTACTTTCCATACCTTCTTCTAACTTTTCTTTTGATGCACAAGATATTTTTATGTGACATTTACAGTTTCATTGTAAACAATATATGTTACTTCCATACAATATCCAACATTTGAAGATGGAACAATGTTATTATGTTGTATTACTAAATAAAAATTTCATATACAAGAGTAGAGTTGTAGAAATATAAACATGTGTATATTATTTCAATATTAATGTGAATGTATTGTGAATAATGTTTTTTTTCTTTTTTCGATCTACATCTTTAGTATATATTGTACTTATTAATGATACAAATCTTTAATGTATTATACTTATTTGAAGCAGATTTGTTGTTTCGTTGCACTTTCTACCGTTGAACACATATTTGAGTAGCATTTGTGTACGACAGACACTCGAATTGTGTCAATTTCTCTCAAATACAAACGTGAATAAAGATGGTTTTGCAGGGCGAGGATGGGACGGGCAACATTCTTTGGCCTTCGCCCTATCTTGTTGCGATTGTTTATAAATGCCTAGCGAGAGACAAGGTTTAAACTTTCTGTTTTTCTTATCAATTTCTGAGGGGTTTTTTTCATCAACTTTTCCCCACACATAGGATGGGATTTCTTTTTCATTTTGCTGGGAACATGTAGGGGGATTTTCTAAACAAAAAAAATTAAATAGCTTCCAAATCATTTACCTTTTCCATATAATTCCATATATATATATATATATATATATCTAATCTAAGACTACCGTACTAAAGAAGAAAAATAGGGTGTTATATACGGGCTACGGGCAATATAATCGAGTGAATTTCCTGTAATTGAGCACCGTTTCTGCTTTGACTAGGTTTTCTTCCATTATCAGGCGGACAACAGAATATTTCAA